TTGAGGCGGAAGGATCACCGGAGCCCAGCAGGTCGAGGCTGCGGTGGCCGGGAGCGGCCACTGCACTCCAGTCTGGGCCACGCCAAGTGTTAGGCAGATGGTGAATGTGAAGGAATTGCACCGAGCCACATTCCTTCCCTGTTGTGGCGCCTTTCCTCTGAGTGAGACTCCAACTCAAAAAAAAAAAGCGGGGGGGAAGAAATGAATCAATCCTCATATCCTATTTCATTCTTGGATAGTTATTAGTGCCATGGGGTTTTTCACAAGTGCGTTCCTTCTATCTCTTCTGTGATAGGATATCTTTGGCTTTTCAGTCATCTCCTAATCCTACCGATGTTTAATAAGTTCAGTGCTGGACTTTGGGAGGAATACAAAGATGACTAAGACACTAGTACTTTAAGAGTACTGAAGAGTAATTGCTTCACCTTGTTTTGCTTCTTTCAGTGGTGAGACAGCATTCAAAGCCATGATGGAATCTTTTGGCTGGGCCCGGCGCCCCATGCTGGAGCGAATTCACTTAATTAGAAGAGATGTGCCCATCACCATGATCTATGGCGCCAACACTTGGATAGATACCAGCACAGGAAAAAAGGTGAAGATGCAGCGGCCCGATTCCTATGTCCGAGATATGGTATGTTGGGCCACCCAAGGAGTGGAGGTTGGGGTGGAAATGCCATGAATTGAATACCAACACATGTTGATTGACTCTCAGTCAGCTCTCAGTCTTGGAGTAGACAAGGGTGATCAAAGAAATGGTGAGACAGTGGCCAGGTGCAGTGGCTCAAGCCTGTAATCCCAGCACTTTGGGAGACGGAGGCGAGAGGACCAGCCTGGGCAACTTAATGAAACCTCGTCTCTACAATAAACCAAAACATAAGCCAGGCACAGGAACATGCACCTGTAGTTCCAGCTACTGGAAGGCTGAGGTAGCTTCCTAGTGCTGGGAATAAAGGGCCATCCTGCTCTGGTGGGTCCTCTCTCCACAGGAGATTGAGGGTGCATCGCACCACGTCTATGCTGACCAGCCACACATCTTCAATGCTGTAGTAGAGGAGATCTGCGACTCAGTTGATTGAGCTGCGCTCTCTAGAGGAAGAGGAGAAAGCCAGAGAGTCGCTCTCGCCTCCCTGTCTGCTTACTCACCCCCTCTGTCCTTTCCTCACCAACTAACATGTGCCAGCCAGGCAGTCTTGGGCTGTCCCCAGGACAGGACCACAGTGAAAAAGAACACTCCTGACCCTATGCTGAGGGCTGGAGGCAGAAGCCACAAGAGGCCTTGAGTGCCCCATCCTGGGGAAGAACATAAAGGGTTGCACAATGCCACCCATCCTCTCCATGCCAAGTGTTACCCAGATGGTGAATGTGAAGGGATTGCACCAAGCCACATTCTTTCCCTGTTGTGTCGCCTTTCCTCTGAGCAAAGGAGAGATCTCAGTGGCCTTTCCTAGCTCTGGAGTGTTTGTGGGGGTAGGTTCCATGCAAGAACATCTTCCTTTTTCTTCACTCCCTCACCCCCATCCTATGCCAGTTCCATCCAGGGTCTGGTTGGGACCAGTTCCCACTTTACCAAGAGTGGGTCCTGGAGCTCCCTTTACCCGAAGAGTCCCTTCCAAAGCCCTCACTGACAAATGAAGAAACGGGCCAAGGTGGGACATGGCTGGCCCATGGTGACACAGTTTTGTGTGATGTGAGTCCTGGCAGAGTCAAAGCTAGAACCCAGGTGTGCTGACACCCAGTGCTTATTGCACGCTTAATTTGCTAAGGTTCGTGGCAGGTGCCATTGCCGTGGGGCTGGCCCTGCTCACTGGTCAAGGATAAACCCATCCCTGCCCCACGTTCTGGCCCCATTATGCAGGGTTGCTGTTGTCCTGCCCTGTGCCTCAGCCCTGGATGCCTAAGCTGGGGACATCAAGTGCTTCCTCCCTTGCCCCATCTGCCTCAACTAGAGGCCTGTGAGCCTCCATCTGTGCCTTGGGCCCTATAGCCCCACTTGTAGTGTAGAGCAAAGGTGTCCCCTGGTGGAGAGAGGGGAGAAAGGCCCTTCAACCCCAGGGCCATGTCTGGGTTCTCCTTGCCCACAGTATCTGCAGCGTTCTGCTACCAGCCCCCAGGGCTGAGGTCCCCCACGATCCCCTGCCCATGGTCCAGTGAGGAGCTTCAAGTCAGCAGTTCCCTGTCCTCATCAGCCACAGGGTGATTCCTACTGCATGACCCTCTGTCGCTGCCGTCTGTTCCCATGGTTTTCCGCTCATCCCACCCCTGACCTACTGGTCAATCCTCTTCCCGGGGTTGTTTCAGGGGCTGCTCTGAGGTTCTAGGCAGTAGGCTGGGCCTGGCCCCCGAACCAGCACAGCTCCTGCCTACTCCCTTACTTTTGTAAAGTCAACCCTTCACTAGAATAGTATTAACTCCTGGTGCTTTGTACTACTGGTCCAGCTGCCTTGGGCTCCTTTTCTATATTAATAAAGAAATGAGTAAAAACTGCTGGTGGTGGTGATGTTTAAGATGACACTGACAAGCTGGGCTCGGTGGCTCAGCCTGTAATCCCATGCCTTTGGGAGGCTGAGGTGAGTGGATTGCCTGAGCCCACGGGTTCGAGACCTGCCCGGGCAACTTGGCGAGACTTCATCTCTACAATAAATCAAAAAAATTAGCTGGGCGTGGTAGCGTGTGCCTGTAGTTCCAGCTACTTGGAAGG